ATTGTACCCATATATCATTGTAAAGCTCGGTGATTATCTAGTGAGCCTGGGGAGCAAGTTAAGCTACCTTACCAAGGTGAAACTTAGCAGGGATTTAATCTTAGGTCCTTACTCCAGAGCCAGTACCCTTTCCATTGTAGAACACTAACTACTTTAGTAGTTATAGCAGAACTAGCTGGAGTTCCAAGTAAAGTTACTAAACATTTAGGTAAAGAGAAGTTAAATGAATACAGAATTAGGTTCAGACAAGTTTGCAACAGTTATCTGCTTATATAAAATTAGAATCTTCGGCCATAATTTCAGTCTGACTAACTCAGGGATAAAACAATTATAGAAACTGGTTCTTGAATGGCCCGATGCAACAAATTGATCCATTAAAAGGCCTCATCTTCTGGGCTCTGATTGGTTAAATTCTCAGCCAGGGCCTATCTCCTGGCAAGACAAGAGCCTAGATTTAACCTAAAATAGATTCTCCAGCTGTAGTACACCTGTGTAGGAAGAAATGTACAGCAAACCATCAGGGAGCTACCAAGCAAAGATTTCTAGGCATGGGAGGCTTTTCTTTCCCCAAGGCATATATTTGTTACTAGGCAACACATAAAAAAGATGATAACCCCTATCCAACCAAAAATATGTGACCCAGGAAAGTAACTACTTGCTTAAAATGTCCCTGTCAAATTTCCAGGCAGTTTAAGACCACAGTCCATGATATAATTGTCTTTATGATGAAGAAAACACTCCCTCCTTCTATAACTACAAGGACATTTGCAGAGGCAGTTTTCATTACTAATATGGATAATGAGGACTTTCTGAATGCACTGATTATAATTGCCTTGAAGTTAGGATTTCCAATCCCAATGAAAAGCCAGTGTAGCTAATGACATAGAAGTGCCATGGCTAACCTTGGAGACATTTTCTCTACTTTGTAACATGATATTTATTGGCCTGTGATTATAAGCTTGTCACTTTATTATCTTGACACTTTAAATTCTTCTGATGTCCAGTTAATGCATGGTCCAAGAAAATATCCAATTAGCAACCTGTCATATGAAATTGAATTAATAACAAGTTCCTTTAATTTGATTTTTCTAAAGTGTTTCTTCAAGAATAATCCCATATTAAAAAAGTCAAATTAGTGTTGTTGATATTAAAATAAAGTAGAAAAAAACATTCTTTCTTTCATTTCTCTGCAATATCCTTTTGATCTGTGTCAACTCAAATCTCCAGGTTTATTCCTACGCCATTAAGAAAACTGAAGACATTTCTCAAGACCTTGGATTATTAAACAATCAATTTTCACTAGATGGAAGTTTTTGAATAATGAATGGCTAGGGAAATAGTTTGAATGTGGTCAAATTTAAAAGCTAAATTTGGAGGGTGTGATATTTCAAACATTTCAAGTCTAAAATATCATTAAGGTAGGTACTCTCTCAAATCATAATCTATTCTTGTCTCTGAATCCCATGGAATGGTTAGCTCTTTCATTACTAGATTCATCATAAAGGATCTATACAGTTACTAGACATATTTCTCTGGGTCTTTTAGCATTTTTTCATACTGGAAAACTTTTTATTGTAGGTGGAGTGGGATAGCTGGACACAGTTTAGATGATTCCAATTTTGTTGGCAACATCTAAAGCATCATAGTCTGGAGCAAGTCAAACATAGGCCTTCTTCTCTCCATCAGGCCAGATCAGTGTTTTGACCTTGGCCATATCGATGCCATACAGCTTCTTTACCACCTGCTTGATCTGATGCTTGTTGGCCTTGATGTCCACAATGAAGACCAGAGCATTGCTGTTCTCAATCTTCTTCATATCGGATTCAGTGGTCAAGGGAAACTTAATGATGGCATAGTGGTCAAGCTTGTTCCTCTGAAAGGCACTATTCCAAGGGCATTTGGGCTGCTGTTGAAGTCTTAGTATCTTGGGTTGTTGGAAGGTAGGGGACATTCAGATCTTTTTTTAATGGCTATGAACACCCTTCAACACTGACTTCTTGGTCTTCAATTCCTTGGATTTAGCTTCTGCCTTGGAGGGGGCGGATAACCACTTCCTTCTTTGCCTTTGGCACCATCTTGGGGAAAAGGCGATCTTTTAGTATTTTATGGACCCTTACTGAAACACTTTGGTCGTCTATTCTCCTTTGCTCTTCTTGGTACATAAGTCACTCACCTCCTTTCTAGTCATAAAGGTACATTAACATATCTTTTCTATTGAAAGTAAATGTTAAGCTGAACTTATTCACACATATTGCACATTGTATCCTTTAACCTTTTTAAGTCACTTGTAGGTTGGATTCTTCAAAAATTGTATTATTATGTGCTTTTAGCCATATCACATCTCCAAAATAATATTAGTGTTAACAAGATGGGATTTAGTAGCAAAGAAGGGATTGAAAACAATGCACAACTTCCCAAATATAGTCCAACTTCCTTTTTAGTCCTTGGGCCAATTCAATTCATTGCCTGCCTGCAATACTTCAAGATAAATATGTTGATGGACTAGGTCAATGGGAAGCCCACCCAACTGCATCCAATCATTTGAGCAAAAATATATTAATGTTGATATCTGGTATGACCAGAGCAAAATAAGAGTTTATAAATGCTTTTTTCCCCTGAAAACTGAACTTCTACTCATGAAGCCAAAGATGGCATTAGATATATTTTATGGTTTCAACTTCACACTGTTGACTCATAGTGAACTTGTATTCCTGTGGTTGTCAAACTCAAATAGAAATTATATCCTTGTGGCTGCATATTGACTTAGATAATCACAAATTAACATTGTCTATGTTGTATTATATTTTTATTTATTTTTGTTCAACATTTCTCACTTACTTTTTGCTATGGTTGAAGCCTCACTCTGGGGTTTTCAACTATGCACTCTGGGCTATGAGTTTGACATATCTGTTATAGTTCACCACAATATGGGGGTTCATATTAATGATTGTAAATCCATTTTTAATTGCTTTTTTATTTGTATCTTGCTATCACAACCACTATGGTGCTCTGACTTCCACCCAATCAGCAAAAATTCATCTATAAATAGGATCATCTGGAGTTCCTCCCCATCTATAGGGTATCTCTCTTCCACTTGGACTTCTCACAAAATATATTCATGACAGTGTGGAAGACCTTAGATAAACATCTGTCTCACTACTTTGACTATACCTCCATGATAGTAAGAATAGAAAGATTGTTGAACAAAGTTATCTGCATCATTGCATTAATCAATGGGTCTTGTATGTTTTTTATGTAGACACAGGACACAACTTGTCAGAGAAAACAATTTGAAATGAATTTCCTTCTATCTTTTTTAATAAACTTATACTCATGGGTATAAAAAACTTAACTCATCAAGTAATATGAACTGTAATTCTCTATATCTCAAAGTTACTTGTGTGAATGTGACATTGTGGTCTGGTGCATAAAATAGTTTGTGAAAGTCTACCTGCATACACCACTCCACTGTCAAGTTGTTTTTCCTAAAGGGAAGGTCTGATCATGTCACTCCTTCCCTTCCTTCTACAATTTCAATAAACTCTAGTGTCTCTCTGTCAAACCTGGGATCAAGTATTCAAACCCTTCATGACCTTGTCCCCCATCTTGCCTTTCCCTTCTTTCACCCTACTCCCTCCTCTCTTCATGTATCTGAGATCCAGTGACAATGGTTTCCTTGCTGGTCCTTACACAAGACACTCCATCTCCCAACTGTATTTTTACTAAAATTTCCCATGCTTGCAATCTTCTCTCTTATTGTCTTGACTTCTGAGCTTCCCAAAAGTCATAGATAAAATTCTGTTTTCTAAGAGGTCTTTCCTGATTCTGTTTTTTAATGTTAGTGCCTCCCTCAATTATCTTCAACTTTCCTGTATATACCTTGCTTGTACATAGTTACTCACATAAATTCTTGACCATTAGACTGTGAACTCCTTGAAGCATCAACTGTTTTTTGCCTTTTTTTATATCTCTTTGCAGAGTGATGGCACATACTTAACAAATGCTTGTTGCCTGGCTAACTATATGTGTCCACAGCTAGGTCCATTTTTAGATAGGAATAGGGCCTCCATGTGTAGTATCATTAACTTAGGAAACTCCCAGATCTGAGAACTCACTCTGCCAATGAAAATCTACACATTTTTGGTAACCTACAGTCTTAGAGAATTGTCTGAACATAGGGAGGATTAAGCATTACAAAGTCATGCATAGAGGCATGACTTGAATCCATATTTCTGGCCCTAAAGCAATTTATTATTTCTCTAAATTTGAATTCCAACACCACAGTTATACAATCTTTAAGAATTTCTACCATTCTGTTTGAGCTTCAAATATAGACTCCATCACTGATGGGTGTAGGCAGCTAAGTGGTGTAGTGGATAAAGCACTGGTCCTGGAGATAGGAAGATCCTATTTGCCTCAGTTTCCTCATCTGTAAAAAGGGGCTGGAGAAGGAAATTGCAAACTACTCCTATATATTTGCCAAGAAAACCTCAAATGGGGTCACAAAGAGTCAAACATGACACGAATTACTGAACAATAACAACACTGATGGTTCTGTTGTTTGAGGACTACCCTAGCTGAGTTCAGCAAGCCTCATTAATGAAAAGGTAATTATAGATGATTTGTTAGCTTTGAAATTATTTATTATGGACAGCTTGTATTGAAATAGAGTCTACACTGTTGGAATCACAGATATTTTGAAGAAATGAGGCATACTCATATTATCATAGATCACAAATTTAGAGCTAGAAGAGATTTTGGAGGCTATTTAGTCAAATTCCCAAGATTTCTTGGCATGGATCTAAAGCAGGATTTGAACTCATGTCTTTTTGACTCCAAATCTAGTACTCAATCCACTAAGTCACACTGATAGCATATGAAAAAATCACCAGGTATTCACAATATCCGGTATACGTTTGCATATTCGATATGTAACACACAAATCCTACAAACAGGATTTATACACCACACATTTAGTGAAATCCTTAACGAAAACTTACTGTGCTGACAGTGGATCCCATTAAATCCTTTAGGACATTTACACACATATCCTATGAATGTATCCCCTCGGTAAGCTTCACTGATTTCACATGTTCCCCCATTATGACATGGGTTAGGAAGGCAGGGACCTGGAAGGAAGATAGAACATAATGATCAACTTGTTGTAATTGTTTTTTTTATCTTTTTCATTTCTACATGCCACAGTGTATTTTAAAATATAATTTTACCAATTGGGTTTTATTAAAATACTCAAAAGGAACATCATCTGATCATTTTAAACCACATGTCAATGTGTCTTATTTAAAGCAGGAGTCCTGGGTTATTTCCTTGGTGATCTTTTTTTCTCAGATCTAACTTTTCCTGTATGACTAAAAATATTCTTGAATCATAGTGTCTCTTTCAAGAAGTCCTGCACACCCTTTGCCTTGTGCCACCTGCTAGTTTATATAAACAAAATGATTTGTTCCCATGCTTGAGGAAAACTGTTCAATACTCCAAATGGAGAACTGAGTTCATCATAAAGATAATTGGATAAAGAGAAATTTCTTTGATAGTGAAATTGTTTTATGAAATTTTATACTCAGGTACAAACACACATATATGTTTTATCTATCTATATATATGCATGTGTATATGTATGTATATATACACATATGTATGTGTGTATTTATGTATATATGCATATATACGTGTATGTGTGTGTGTGTGTGTGTGTGTGCATGACAAAAGTATCAAATGCCACAGAAAAGATCTGGAGAATGAGTTATGTCAAATTTGATAACTATGTTATTAATGGCTAACATACATATCAACAGAATTTTGGAACCAATAATAATAGGAGCTAGCATGTATATAGTGTTACAAGGTTTGCAAAGTACTTTATAAATATTATCTCATTTTATCCTCACCATATCTAAGTGTACCATCCCCATTTTACAGTTAAGTGACTTGCCCAGGGACACACATCTAATAAATGTCTGAGGGTGGATTTGAACTCAGGTTTTCTTGACTCCATTTTTTGTTTTTGTTTTCTATGATACTGTGCTGTGTAAGGGATGAAGCTGGGAAAGAGAAAGAGGAGAGGTGGGGAGAGAGTGGGAGAAGAGAGGAGATAATAGAGGATTAAAAAAGGGGGGGAGGGAAGGGAGGAGGAACAAATAGGAGATGGACAGAAGGAGGGAGAGAGAAAGAGGGAAAAGGAGAGGGAGAAAGAGAGAGAGAGAGAGAGAGATTGAAATTGAAGAAGGCAAATGAAAAGAGTGGTAATTATTTTAATAAGATATCACATTAGGCAGGGAGCTGTGTAGTGAACACCATAGGTCTTTATTCTCAGAGAACAAAAGATAAGCCTTTATCTACCAGCAATGGGAAGGGTAAAGACAATACAGTATGGTGGAATGAGCCCTAGATTTGTTTCATTTATCCTCTGGCTGCACTACTTTGAGGTTTTTCTGTCTTCTTCACCATGACCCTGGAAGTTCATTACTGGAAAAACATCATCAGACTGCAAGGTCCTTAGTACTTACTCCACATCATCATTACCCTCTGCCCCCGTGATTGAAGTATATGGCCATGAACACCATACCCTCCATTTAAAGAAGCAACTCAGCTTAGACATCTCATTTCTCTCCTGGCTTAACTACTTTGGGGATTCTCTGACTTCTCCATCATTCCTTCTGAGTCACAGACTTTACCCATGCCCCCTTTTCCATTTCCTTTTTTCTATTTTCTTCCCCCATTAGATTGTGCATTCCTTGTGGGTAGGAAGCCTTTTTCTTTTTTCTGTATTTGTATCTCTCATGTTTAGCATGATGCCTGGCATAAAGTCGGAGATTATTAAATGTTTATTGACTGTCATCTATTTGAAACTATAGACCTTAGGTTAGTAAAGAAAGCTAAAGTAAGTAAATTGCTCTATTTAGACCTGTTTTCTCACCTATAAAATAAAGGGTTGGAATGTACAATCGGTAAGGTCCCTTGGAGCTCTAAATTATATCTCTGATCCATGATCTGAAGTCAACTTTGTGCCAAGGTGAAGGCAGAGGAATATGAAAGAATTCATGCCAGCTGGTCTCAATTTTCTTTGAAAAATAATATAAGAAGAGAGATAAGGTTATTCATTGAGAATCAGGGCAGGAATTTGGGTGTAGGGGTCAGCAGAAGGGAAACGAGCCTATCTGAGAGAACAGAATATCCGAGTAGTGGATGAAAGGCTTGGTGAATAATATCAGGGGTCAGGTTGAAGATGGACAACAGAATTTCTAATGATCCAGGCCCTGCCAGCTTCAGTTTTTTTTCCTCCAGAAGCACTATGTAAACTAAAAGCAGGAATGGATAAAATGACTCATGGTGGATATATTTCAAAAGGTTAATCGAAAGTTGAAGGAGTCTTGAGTTTTGGGGAGGATAATACTACTGTAGTTTATCATAGATTCTACTATAGCTAGGAATAGCTAGGAGAAGATAACAGACTTTAGTAAATGAGAAAAGATTGAATGCTTTCATAGATTCAATTATTATCTCTATGTTTGTGATTCTCAAATTTACTAATGTAGCCATACCCTCACTCTAACTTCCATGCTCTCCTTGCCAGTGTTGTAACAAACATCTCAAACTTTAAGTCCCATAGACATCTTAAATTCAACATGTCCCAAACTTGACTAACTCATTATCTTTCTGCCAGGCCTACCCCGGCCAATCCCTGCCTTCTTACTAATTTCCCTTTTGTTGGTTAGGGTAATCTGGTCATCTAGGCTCAGAATCTAGGTGTAATTCTCAACTTCCCACTGTCTTTCATCTTTTCCATCCAACCTATTGCCAAGACTTGCCAATTTTACCTTCATAACATTTGTTGCATATGTCTTCTCTCCTCTAACACTGCCAAGACCCTGATATAATCCCACATTGCCTCATTCCTGGGTCATAATAATATTCTACTGGTTGGTCTCTGCCTCAAGTATCTCCTCACTCCAGTTCATTTTCCATTCAATAGCCAAAGTGGTTTCCCTAAAATATAGGTTTGACCATGTCACCTCCACTGTGCAGTAAACTCCAGTGGCTCCCTATCACCTCCAGGATAAAATGAATAGTTCTCTGTTTCCTCTGTTTGGTTCAAAGTCCTTCAAAACCTGACCTCCTTATCTTTTCAATATTCTCACACCTTACACTGCCCTCTCTGCCCCATCCTCCACCATGTACTCAGTGATCCAGTGACATTACTATTTTTTGTACAAGTCATAAATATCTCTCACTTCTGGGTATTTTTTTTTGACTAGACAATGGGGTTAAGTGACTTTCCCAGGGTCACACAGCTAGTAAGTGTTATATGTCTGAGGCTGGATTTGAACTCAGGTCCTCTTGAATCCAGGGCTGCTGTTCTATCCACTGCGCCACCTAGCTGCCCCTCTTCTGGGTATTTTCATTGGTCATCTGTCTTAGGCATGGAATTCTCTCCCTCCTCATCTCTACCACCTAGCTTCCCTGGATTCCTTTAAGTCTCAGCTAAATTCTCATCTTCTAGAGGAATACTTTCCTATTCCTTCTTAATTCCTTCACTCTGTTGATTATTTCCAATTACCTTGTATATATCTTATTTGTATGAAGTAGTTTGAATGCTGCCTCTCGTTAGACTGTGTGCTTCTTAAGAGCAGGTACTGTCTTTTGCCCTTCTTTGTATCCTGAGAGATTAGCACAGTGCCTGGCAAGTAGTAGGCTCTTAATAAATGTTTATTGACTGACTGACTGAATGAATGATGGTAGTTTTAATAAGGTCATATTGTAGATTTGAAAAAGTGGCAAAGACAAGAATATATAATTTAAAAGGGAGTACCAAATTAGAGATGTCAAATAGCTGCTGTCAGAGAGGGACACCAGTCCATCTTATTTCAGGTCCTGTTCAGTGAAAAACCATGCTAATTGACTTCACGTGTATAATCAATATCAAATTGCTTGCCTTTTCAAGGAGATCAGAGCTGTGGAATGGAGGGAAAGAATTTGGAGCTCAAAATTTTTTAAAAGATTAATATTTTACATGTGATTGAGAAATATTTAACAAAAGTATATATACATATATGTCCTCCAAGAACATGAAACCTAACTAAGGTTGGGAAAGCCCAGTATACACATATGAAAATCTCAAGTAACAACAGTATGTTTCTAATCATCATTTTCTAGGTTGTCCATAACTCTTCTTGTCAATCTCTATAAATTTCTTTTCATCCCCCACTATGACATTAACCCTTCATAGACCACCATCAGGTCAACCACCTAATTTCCTAGTAAAGGTAGCTTAACTCTCCTCTCTAGACACATGTAAGAATAGATATAGAATGAAGAAAAACTGGTTTAAAAATCCTTAAACACCAAACATTATGACATAGTGATCCAGTTTTACATTTATAGATATATCATTGAGTTCAGTTTATTTCACCATTTGAATTTTCTGTCATTTTCAATATTTTAACTTTAGTTATGTTGTATTTCCAGTGTATTTATTATACAGTGGAAAATAATACATTTCAGCAAAATGTTCAATATTTTCCTTATGTTTCTTTAAATGTCTATATCAAGATGTAGTAATATATTTGAAGAGATAGAAGATAAGAAGAAAAAAAGAAGACAATGTGGTGTAATTAAAAAAAAAAAAGAACTGCACTAGAAGTCTAAAAAGTCCAAGGAGAACCTGGATATGAATTCTGAGTTTTCCACTAACTATCAGGGTAATGATGGAGGAAAGTTTTTAACATAGCAGGGCCTCTTGTTCCTTAATGAAAAATGAGAGGGAAGTTTGAACTAAATGGAATCTAAAGCCAAGGTCCTTTCCAGCTATAATTCTATGATCCTGCCATCATAGGATTGCTCCAACTTTAAAATTTAAATAGGATTGGAAGCAATGGAAGTTATAATAGCAATGGTTGCTAGTGATTTATATCTAGATACTAGACAATTTTTTTATAATTAAAAGCTGTTGGTTAGATTTTGTGCTCACTGAGCTACTCATTCTACCAAGTGCTTTAGACTCATTATGTTGCCACAATATTTTCACTCTAATTGACGTTCGAAACTCAAAACTAAAGATTTAGTTACAACAGCAAACTAGAGGTGACAAGCTATTAACATGTGTAATCTT